CTCCAGCCCCCCCGCGACCCTCGTGAGGACGAAGCGGTGTATAGATAATGGATGGATGTTTAAATTATTAAGACCGAGAACTGCAGGACGGTTGAGCATCCCTACAACACAATGAAGAGTGACGGTGCCAGGGCTGCTTCTTGGGATCCCATGGCACCTCTTGACCAGCACCTGCTGTCCAGCTGGACAGCTCCACTCAGCTACCAGTCACTATGTTAAACATATCCCTGACCTTGAAACTCATAACATCAATCCCATCTAAATTTCTAAATGTAAATGTTGGATTGCTCTTTAAATTAGCAGGGAGAACATGCTCTCAGCTGAGAGCCACAGACAACTGAACAATGGTGTTGTTTTAAGGAATATATCAGGAACATTTTGTTAAATGCTCTTACTTGCCTTTTTTCTGTGGATGAATGTCAAGCTCATGTCTATGTGTTCAATGGAGGCAGGACATGATTAATCTAGCTTAGCAAAAGGCCTGGAAGCAGAAGGAAACAGCTAGCCCGACTCTGTCCAGAATGCCAAAAATAGCCCCTGTACAGAAATAAAAGTGTATTTCTGTGCAGGTGGAGAGTGATATTTTGGATCATGTCTGTTGAAACTTTGTCTTCCCAGATGTCGCCTGAACACAAAACAGAATACATTTTTGGCAACCCATTTTAATATAAGGACCAAGTCAACAGATAAACCATGGCCTGCACATACTGAGGCAATGACACATCTCCACCTTAGGACAATCTGAATACTTGTTCTTTGCAAACAAATATTTCTAGCTGTTGACTGTTGGTGAGAAATAAACACATACAGCAAAAAATAGTAATGTGGTAAAATTTCTAAGAATAAAGTGAAAAAGTAGCTTAACAGATGCAGCATTCATTGTTTGATGCGACATTATCACATTTTTCTATAAATAGAAACATACATTATCAACAGGTTAAATCATCAGAATAAAGTTATAGAAAAATACATTTTGAAACTGTTACATTATGTAAATGTAGTGTGTTATGGTTTAATGTGTTCTTGTGAGCAGCTTTGAAGCTCCTGTTTAGCCTAGTTATGAGTGGATTGAGTGTTTGCTTTTTGGAAGTTGTGGAATCACCTTTTAATTAATGGCCTTCAAGTAAGCAGATAGGACAAACGCGACATAAAGATTCTTGTCTGATTTGAACTGGAAGTCCCATTATTCACAATGTTCCTCATATAAATGGTATAAGACAGTGTGAGTACAAGACAGCATTACTGAGGTTTTTTAGTAGACTCGCCTCACCTTATTACCTCACGTCATGTCTCAGTTTTTAACAAATGAATGGGATGCACAACAACTCTGGCATAGGAAATCAGTAAAACACTGTAATGTAGAAGTGAAATTCTAAACAAAACATTGCACTGCACTCACAAAGCAAAGCCTAAATGAGAAGCAGAGCTGCATAAAAACGAACAACTATGGTAATAAATAAAAATGCAGATTGCACGATACTGTACTGTGTATCTTTTGATGTAGTGATGAATATGAATAGTTAATGCCACATTGTCATACCACTGAATATTGATGCAATGCATTATGGAGCTCTTTTTCTACAGACATACCTATGACACTCCTGATGTAGCTTGTTTTGTTTTTGTTTTTTTAACCAAGGCTGATTTTCAGTATATCTTTGCACAGTTAGATTTCTTTGTGTGTGTGTGTGTGTGTCTGTCTGTCTGTCTGTCTGTCTGCAAATATTTATGCTCCTGACTGGATTTAGCAGCTCTGCGTGACATTGTATAGTATTGTGAGGTTCACAGTGAGCAGCAGAATGCTTGGTGTGGAGGTGTTTTCTGTTCAGCTGTGATCGTCTGATGCTGTCCCAGACAGGCTGTGTGACCAGAGAGGCTCCATTGGGAATCTCCCTCACACTGCTGTACTCTGCAGCAGTCGCCTTCATGAATAACAAGTAGCTATGAATTCAACCCCCCACCAGTCCTAGCCCATACACACATGCCTGCACATACATACACAGAACACGCATCTGCATGTTGCCACCAACATGCACGTCTCCAAATATATAAAGGCACAAGCGCAATGCCACACAGATAAAAGCTCACACATTTATGTGCTCAGATATCTTTATCTACACACACAGATGCATATGCACACACAAAGAGTCCGGCATGCACAGGCTCACAGATGGGGTTTGTGTCTGCCAAGTGCTATGTTTGGAAAACTGTAATGAATATGATTACGACCTAAAGACTGGTGTGGTTTATGTAATGAGCAAGACAAAGGCAGTCCACTGCATTTGTATTTAAGGTATCCAGCTGGGTGTCTTCTCTAAAGCCAATTAAATAATTAAATGAAACCATTTATTCCCAAATAAATCTCTCATGATACTTCCCAATCAAATATTTCTTGTGAATAAGCCTACTTTTATATAAAATATTGCATACAGAATACAGTGATGTAAAAGCAACAATTACAGTATGTATTAAATACTATCCTTTGCACTATGCACATTTGAAAATACCTGTTTTATGTTTCTGCTTCTGTACAGAAGATTCATCTATTTCACGCTGCATTGATTTGGATTCATTTAGAATATTGAATATATACATATATATGTTTCATGACTCAAGCACAGACCCACTTGTGTATACATCTGTGATATGCCATCTTATTTCTCTTCGCCCTTGCATCATGATATAACACATTTTATCAAGAGAAAACTCTAATATGGCTCAATAATGACTTACACTAACATACAGTAATCACCTGATTCCATTTTTTCCCAAGCCTTCTAGAAGGGGACGCTAGTTAATTGGTCGATGTTTTGGGGTTCATTCAGGCATCTTTCGTGTTGTATGCAGACATAAGCATACAACTGTCTTTCTTCTTTTTTTCAGGAGGGCATGTTTGTCGAAGACTGAATCCGCTTAAGCCAAGTGCACTGAAGATTAAAATGAGGTCACATTCAATCCAAAGCTAAGAAAAATGCTACCCCAACAACAACGCTTGGAAAATCCATCAAATTCCCTCACTGCTACTCTCACCGGTTGGCTGGAACTCGCCACGAATCCAAGACAGACCAATCAGCACACAACTCGCTGAGTATAAAATTCCACCGCTTCTATCGAAGGCAAAAATCACGTGGGTAAACGTGGCCAGCCAATTATAATCTGTATTCGGCGTAAACAGACCGAACTGGCCAATAGCAGGCAGGAGGCTGTTCTTTTTCCTGTTGACGTCACTGCCTATGCGAGCACCGTTCTGGTGCCAGGAACTGGGCAGCAAAGTAGAGAGGGAAGGAGGAAACCTGGAGGGAATAAGAGGCTCCATCAAAACAAAAGGAATCGTATTTAGAAAGCATTTAACCTTTTAAATATGGCTACAAGAGAAAAACTGTGAAATCGGAGGACTTTTGAGCATGCTCGCTGGCTGATGTAAAATCCGATTGCCAGCTTCTCCTGGATTCGCTCATCGAAGTTTTGGCTGAAGAAGTTCACAGCGGACGACTAGTTGTTAACGTTATCACCGGGGCTGTCGTCGAACTATAACATAGCCTAGCACAACAAAAGGAGAAGACATGGTGTCCTGGATCATTTCGAGAAGCGTTGTGTAAGTACAAAGACGGTTGAGATCACCAAAACTGAACTGAAATGGTTCTGTTAACTTGAGGAAACTAGGTTAGCTGATTGGATTGAGCTGTTAGCTTGCCTTGCTAAGCTATTGTCCTTAAGCTAAGTTGTGACCTTAATCCTTCAAATTTGACTTTAGTGTGAAAACTTTGTCAATAGGAAACTATTTTGTTTAGGTTTTAAAAAAGTTAGCAGACAACTGAAAATCCGGCATTGCTTATTTTGTAATGTAAATAGGTGTGGGGCCCAGGCTAGCTAGCCGTGTGGCTGGACCGTTTGCTGTTGAGTTGAAAGCAAATGCTCCCATCTTGTTTATGAATCATGGCCAGGCATGCTGCTGGTGACTCAGCCAGAACAAAAGGTAACTTTTGTTAAATATGAGGTGGGACTTTACAAGCTCCGACATGTTAATTTAAGAGGGCGTGTCAGGTACAGCTGTCATCTTGGAGGTATTATTAGCCTGCCCTGCCCAATTTAACCGGGCAGCTAGTACATTGTGAGGAGGACACAGGAAAAAGGAATCCTGCACGTATATGTGCGGCTCTACGTGGACGTACTTTGGTTACAGAATACTTAGTAGTTACTTACTGAGATGTCACTATAAATCCTTCTAAAACCAAACTTTAGATATTTAGATTCAACAGTAATATGAGATGTGTTGATTGTTTGGGAAAATCCCAGTTCCTGAGTCTGTATACCTTCACAGTAGTTGCATAACTCAGAGTAATGGAGGAAAGGAATGTGATGGAAACACCAAAGGGAGTGGTGGAGAGTAGGAATGCTTCTCTGTTTTACTCAGAGCGACCAGCAGCAGCTCCATGACATGGGCTAATGAGCACATTCTTTTAACAGTCCGTTGTCACAGGTTGTCTGTAGCTATACACAACTTCTCAGCTGGAGTCTTGACTATGTTGTCTGATTCCGTGGATAATAATTGACTTGTTTGCTGCCTCTTGCAGCAAATTCAGTTGCCTCACAGTAACATTAAACAACAAATATGTTGCTGTGTGTTGGCTTTTAAAATGAACTAGCAGAGACCCTGGGTATGAACACATCCATGGCAGTTCTAGTGCATAATTTAAGATTAGTCTGTGAGGTTTGTGTTTGTATAAACTTGTTTTTTTCTGAGGATTCGAGCTTTGGTGGGCCAATTAAAAAAGAGAAAGTTGTTTGTATTTCTTTAAGCCAAACTTATTTGTCTTGGGTAGGGCTAAGGGCAGGATGCAGCAATCGAGTTCATTCAAAATAGTGATGGAGGAAATGTTTTAATGGAAGAGATGCTTGCAGGAAGGCCAGCAATGCTATTAAAATGACTAATTTACCAAAAGTAACTAGCAGTGCTTGCCAAACCTTTGGTGAAACTCAGCATGTATGCTGCTGCTTGGAGGTTGCTGTTGTTGTGTCCTATAGTAAAACGTATTTTGAAACAAGTACTACATAGACAGGAGAAGATGAGGAGGAGAAAGCTGCATGAAATACACAACTAATAGCAGGCTCCAACCTGCTGTCTCCATCCAGTGAGTCAGACTGCTAGGGGTGTAACGGTGCATGAATTCATCCAGAACGCTGCAACAACACATGCAGTCATATGGAGAAAATGTGGTACAAAGGCTGATAAATGTGACGCTGAGTACAAGTTCCACCTAGGAGCCTTTTGTTGTAAGCCATTAGCAACATACCATGCTAAGCTCAGCCAACGTTACTCATGTCTGACTTAGTCGGTCACACTATGGTGAGTGCAAATGACACACAGGAGCTAGAAGAGCC